TAGCTGAAAAGACAGCAGCCATGATAACATGAACAACACATGCTTAGTTTTGATTTCACAATAGGTAACGTCACCTAGCAACAGCGGTGAGGGATGATGTCAGAAGACAATAAAGTTGATGAATATGTGGCTGTGAGAAAATCAACTTTCTCTGAAAAGGCTGCCTAGCAGTAATTATATAAAGAATATCCAGGCAACAAGGGACAACTGACTTCATACAAGATATGACCCAAGACTTTGATAATGATTCATCTTTTTAGTGGGGGCTGCGGGATAAGTAAGCAGAACATCCTAGTCCTGGTGTCGCTCAGTACTCTGCATAAGGAAGAGAGCTGGCTAGCAGCTGGTCACTGGCCTGGTTCCCATTCTTAGCTATTACTGGTGCACTGATCTGTACAGAGACGTACCCACAAAGTCTGGTGTCCTGCCCTGTGATGCCAAAATACAACTGCAATGCAGAAGAAGTCATCTTGGCCTTAAAAGCAGAATTAGGATTTGCCCCAGATGAGAAAAAGAACTCCCCTCCTCCCCATACAATAAGAAATCCTGAAATCCTGTGTAATGACAAAGTAATTGCCTTTCATACAGGTGTTGCATCTAGGGTCTGGAGGAAGACAAGTTGCAAGATGTTCATTTTTTCTCTCCTCTTGCCCTACCCTACCCTGTCTTTATTGATATATTCATAATAGATGCAAAGCTTACCTTTCTGTGGAGTCCACTATACTGTCACCCACACTTCCTTACTTATCACTGTCTCGAGAGCAGTCATAGCATTTAACACAGAAGTTTCCTACATGAAACTTCTGCCACATAAGGCTCAAATATATTTTACAGTGTTATCTGTGAAACTCTGTCCCTGGGATTTTATACTGCTGCCTCTTCCTGGAGTGTTTACTTCCTCTATAGAACTTGTAACAATAGTAGTGTCTCTGGAAAGTATAAATTCCCTTTGGAGTGGAGTTTGTTCTTGAGATGCAAGATTTTCGTTGCTAATTATTGTTTATATGAGTATATTCTCAAAAACTAACACTAGAAGCAGTTCTGTGACTGTGATGGATATGTATAAGGAATTTTTGATCAGATGCAATATTTTTAGTAGCATTCATCAATATATTCAGAAAAAAATAGATAATCCATTGGGCACATTAAGCCTTCCTAGTCCATCAATTTCTTGCTACAGGGATAAGGAATTTGACAGATAATGGTGTTTTTATGAGAGAAGGACAAGTCAGAGTAATGAATATTGTTCTGCAGCAGCCAGTTTCTTCACAGAAGTATTTTGTTAATAGAATAAGAAGTTTAATGTTAGGAAAGAAACAAAATAAATATGTTTTGTCTAGTCTTACCAGATTATCTGGTAAAACAAACACAAAACTTACTTCCTCTGGAATGTGATCCTATAGATTTCCATGTGTTCCTCTTAATTTAATGCCCTATACATAGTTTTACAGCTGGATTCATGAGCTGAAGCTGTTAAATTTAATTTCTAGCAAGCTAAATAGCTTATGGTCTAGTTTTATTGTTCATATTTCTGAATCTTAAGCACTAAGACATTGCCTGTAGGGATGTTTTAAACCAACACATGACTAATCCACCCCACGAGAGTATGAGTAAAGGAGGGGCAATATATCCTCAACTGATCCCCAATGACTTTTTCTCATTAGTCCCACAGTCAAAATAGTATCATTTTAAAATTACTGCAATAATAGAGAATAAAGATTGATGACTAACCTGATGAACTGTTTAAAAAATTTAATAAAGTAAAACAAGACTGAAAGATAAAGTGGACTGGAAGAAGTCTTCCTGGCATCATTCCTTACCTTTGACAGACTCACCTGCTGTAAAAGGAGATAAGGGGCATTTCCCACTAATATGTAAACTTTTAAAAACCTGGTCTTCAAGTCACAGAGTGTGGAAACAAGTCTGAAATGGGTCTTACTCTCCAACTGAAATTTATTTTAAATCATTCTGGAATTGTGCAAACCCATACTGTTTTGGATACCTATCTTAATGATAAAGTATATTTTCTCAAATGAAGCACCACTCTTCCTTTAAAGCAACTATTCTCTTTTCTATTTAAAGTCTATTTAAGAATTTCTCAGCAAAATACCAGGTATGCATATTTTCTTCATGTAAAATGACAGGCAAACTGCAGTTCTGTTTTTTGATGTATGAGTTACGCTCTGAATTATAGCTGCTTTCAATTTGACCTATTTTGTTTAGGGGAAAACTTCCATATGGATGAAACCTCCCTCATGTTGGATGAATATTTCAGAGACTTGCCACACAAGTTTGACAGAGCTCACCAAATTTGGCAGGCTTAGCTCCAGAAAGGCTCAGGCTGTAATAACCCTGGTGTGGCAGATCAGAAACAAAGTGCAACAGGAAAGCAATGCCAGGGATGCTTGCTTAGCACATATCTGCAATATATTTCTTTTTACCAAGGTGCAGCTGGTTGTGCACTATTGTAAACTGGCCTCTTACTGTAAAGCAAAAGCGACAAAACTGAAAACAGTAAGCCACCAAAACATGTGAACAGTATGAAGTTGATAGCACATCTGAAAAGTGTATATGTAATGTTAGCTTAATGAAATGCAACTTTATGACTGTGTGACTTGAGGACTCTGTTTTGTGAGGTGATGAACACTCTTAACTTAAGACACATAATATTTTTAAAAAGGAGCTGTGCAAGGCAAAAAAAGAGGCATTTTATTATGTCATCAGATATAAATAACAGTGCTTGAGTGCATATATCCTATATGCCAACCTTATATGGAAGCTATTGAAACTTAAAAGCCTCAAGTCCATTGGTCCCTCAACACCTCTAATGTCTGAATAGATTATTATGATTTTATTCTAAATAACAAGGCTATGTTACAGTAGAAAAGCATTAGCCACCTTGTTTAATGTAAATTTAGAAATCTAAATAAATGTAGCAATCTATGCATAGGAAGGATACCTATTGATTCCAGTTGGATTTTATAAGCATGAGTTAAAAGATGATGGCTTTGTCATAATTAGCTGGGAGGTGATTCAGGTTCACAGACATGGATGCCTGGTATCTTTAAGCACTGTCGTTAATGAGACATTTGTGTGAGGCTAATAAATATGAAATTAAAGAGGATGCATGCATCAGATGGGATGGGCAGACATGGGACTGTGACCTGTGCCTTTCTAGGATGGCTGTGCATCTACTTTATTTGTCCAACAAGTGGTTTAAGGCTAACATAAAAATAAGCAACTCCAGGTCCTCTGGAGCTCTATCTCATGTTCTGTCACAAGAGCTTCTGGGCATCCATACATATCACACCATCTTACTTATTCAGCTATGGATTTTGCATAATGCAGCAAGGTGAAACAACATTTCTGTTTGATCAGGCTTTTTCATTTTGTGTTTTCCATGTGGCAGTGGGGAGTGTAGAAATCTATAATATAATCTCATAAAGATTTGGTCTTCTCTTTCTGAGAATCATCTGCAGTGTTTTTGTTTGCCCAGAATTAATGATTTGTTCTTTTGCAATTATAAATTTTGATCCTGATGACTTCCATATTGCTACAGTGAGAACTGATTTTTGTTGGCTCTCAGTAGTGTCAAAAGAAACAAGAATTTTAAAATATAAACTATAAAAATATTAAACCTATATTTTTATATTTTTCATCTATTTATATTTTGAAGGGGTATTTTCTTTTTATTGTTATTTTCACAACAAATTTTATCTAAAATATTGAATTTATCCATCACTCCAAAAGCCCAAATTTGAATTACAGCATATAATACATCATCAGGCAGTTCAGAAAACTGGCCTTTTTAAACATTTCAGAATGGCTGGAAATATCATCTGCCAAAAAGCACATGGAACACCTCTTAAACAGATGCAGATCAGTGTGCTACAAAGGACACTGAATTCAAGTGCCCTTTAAAACCGTTATCCAGCTTTAAATACAAGCTGAAATGAAAACCAAAAGACATTCATGAGACTGAAGCACCACAGCTTGGACTTCCTCAGACTGTGTGCTGAAGAAAAAGCTGGACTGTAAAAAGTCGTGAGCTGAGCTTCCATTGACCTTTGCTCTGCCTTCTTAACTCTGAAGAGTGCAGTGCTTCAGGACTGTAGATAACTACAGTCATGCTTCAAGAAGAGATATTCCAGATTCAGGATACCTACTAATGTGCATACAAGTGGTGTGTGGGGGGGGGAAACAAACATATTTCTACTGGGTAATTAAGCAAAATAAAGTGGTTTAGGAATAACATTTCTTTCTGACAATAGAATTTTAAATTCATTTTTTTAAACTCAGTGTAAGTTCTTTTTTTTTTGGTGGGTGTTCTATGTTTGTTTCACTGAAAAATTACAGGAGGCTGAAAAAGGGACAATGGTGCTCATTTTTTTAGTTCAGGTTCTCTTCTGTAGGTTGAAAGCATAGTTTTGAGAGCAGAGTCTTGTTTTTCTGGAGCTCTTACTGAAAGGAAAAGGAATAGCATGCTCCATTTCTAATCACTTTGCCTTTTCCTTCCTTCTTTGCCCTTTTCCTGTCACCACTGGTGACAGGAAAGAAATTTTTGTATGGCCTACCCAAGCTATACCCACTATGGAATTATTGTATTTCCTACTGATGATCACCAGCAACAGCAGAAGCAAAACTGTTGTCATTATTTCAAGTGAGCTACCTATGTCTTGAACTTCTGATATAACTAAAAATTTACAGAAAATCCAGAGAAAAGTATGAAATCTACTCTTTACTAGCTTTATTGTTGATACCATCTTACCAAATGCAAGATGGAACCTCATAAATGCGTATAAATGTGTGTTGTGTATGTGAAAGACATTTACATCTTGAAGTTTAGCAACCCATGTGATCTCTGCAAATAAAAAGGCAACTGTCTGGTGGTGTTTTGATTCAAAAGTGTAATTTACTAATTGGTTTTAGAACACCTGTCTTTCACTGCTCAGGTTGTTAACTGCACCTAACTTCTTCCTATAACTATCAATTTCCAGCTGTTGACATTTGCACTCTGCCAGCACCAGTGAATGTCTGCAGTGCACTAGTAAGGAACATGTGGGAGCAGGAGGCCTTCAGCTTTTTCTATTGAAGGAAGACAGCAGAAGGACTAGCTGGTAAAATGATTGTCAGAAGACTTCAACAGGTAAGAAATACAAGACAGAGAATAAGGAAACCAACTACTTCTCAGGAAAGTCACAGAAAGGTTTACTCTCTCCCACTGATGTGAAATGAAGGTAAGAGAGCATGTCAGAGAGTGGGAAATAGGTGATAAGCACTTCAGAAGAGCTCGGAAGCAAGAAGGCCACTGAAGTGAACACGAAGCACAAACATGATCATTACATTTATTTTTCAAGGACAAAGAAGAAAAGTTGTGAGATACTTCAGAGAATACACTAAAGAAAAAATACAAGTAACAAGTTCTAACTCTCCCCTTTGCATGGAAGGAGCACCTACATAGCACTTTTGAGTAGCTCTGTTGAAATCAGTGACTCAGAGGCCTCATTCCGGATGAACAGACTTCACTGGGCTCTCAGTTTCCACCCAGGTGTGGATTCAGGGAGTAAGGGTGTGTTGTCAAGGTTGGGGCCAGCTCTTTATTTTGTAAGCAGGAAGGTTCTGAAATTTTAAGATTTTGAATTGCAAGAAGATATGAAGAGGCTTTTGTCAAAATGAATCCATTCATGATATGCATCTCATGTCAGAATATCAATGAAACTGGGTTTGATCCCCTACTGAGGTAGCAGGGAGAGATCTTTTTCATTTTTTTTTAACAGAAGTCAGATCTTTTAAAACCTTCATGGAATCCAGAGAGCTGACTATACATTTTATGTAAAAATACTGTGAAGAGAAGATGGGGATAGTCCCTTTCCTGTTCTACCTTGGTAGTATACCTTCCTTAAATGATGTCACTGTTCTCATGAAAGACTTTTTTCAAGGTTAGAGAGGGAGGAGTTAAAGCAACTACAGGTGAAGGTAAACTCAATACACACAGGGAGTGATAACAATGTCAGCTTTTAACATTCCTCAGCATCCTCTTTTTCCTAGAACAGAGGCTTCCCAATACTTATTTTAGCAAAGTTGTTCTCTTCCTGTAAGCTAAGTTTGATTGCTTCACCATATTGAAGGCAAAATACATACTTTGAAGAAAGCACAGTTCATATTTTAAGGTATTGCATCAGTCAAGGCCACAGCTGGCCAATACCAAAAGAGCGATCAGGAGGCTAAGGACTGTCAACAAAGAACAGTTCTCTACATCACAGAATCAGACACATTTGCACTCAATTAACAGTTTGCTTAAAAATAGACAAAGATAAGCCCTAAAGAGTGTGGTGCCCAGCAACCCCATCATATATACAGTAGCAATGCATAGCAGCAGTTATCATCATGCCTTACCACTCCACTTGCTGTAACAACAGAAACATCCACTATCAATTCCTTATTTTGTTTGAACATATTTGGAGATGTTATCATAAAGCTATTTTCATGATATGGTCAAAGGGATGATAATCTAGTTTCTTTTAAAAGTAAAATTTATATAATCTTATTGTCTTTCTACTTAAATTCCTTACTAGGTGCTGATTAAACATAAGCCTCTGTCATGTATGGGTGTCAAAGATGACTGTATGTCACTTTTACTATTCTTGAGGTTCAGCAGAAACTATTTTGACGGTTGTAGAAGTTAGCTCTGCTTCAAAATTACACAAATCTGTGCATATAACCAAAGATACAGGAATCAGTGGAGTGCAGGAATGCTCTGGACTATCACCTCTTCAGGGAAAGCCCACTTCTTTTTTATGGCTGGAAGTCAGTCAGGACATCATTTTTCAGTCCTTTTCCATCCCTATGACTTGGGGATTCATGCACGCAGGAGAATTTAATTCTGCATAGATCAGCTAATCCGGCAGCTGTTTTGCAGCACCTGAGTAGTGCAAACCAGAAAGAATTAGGCTGAGAAGAAAACTCATGGAATAACAGGTCACAATTCAGTAAAGCATTCAGCCTCACCTCAAACATTTCCATCTGCAAAGCTGTATCTGGAGAAGGCATACAGCATTTACAGAGCACTCAACAAAAGAGTAAACTCTTTGTTATTTTCCATAGCAGCTTTCTAATGAAGGAAAGCACTAGAACAGCAGTAATAACTTTCCTTTTACAGGAGTATAGTTCACTAGAGATGGTTCCCACATGGAGAAGAAATGCCTCAGGTATTTTTTAGCATTTCCTTGGCACTTGGGACCTATTTATTACTTCATATACTTGAATGTAATGGCAGTTAACACACAGTTATGAAGGGGAAGTGATGTAGGATTCTGAAAGATACAAATTGCAGTACATGTTAAACTTTAATTTGTCGCCAGTCTCAAGTCTTTCAGCTTTTTTAGGACTGCAAAGCCCTTTCAGAAGTATGGTGGACATGAACTATATTAGCTGTTGGTTAAACCCAGTGCTGCTAGCTAGCTCACTGGGGGAATAATATCAATATGTTCTCTTTTCACTTCCGTCATGCTGTGCAGAAGACATGCATAAATAATTGCAGTTCTTGTGGATGTCCAAGTGTACAATACCTGGCCTCCATGGCCAGGTTAGATTTAGGTGATTTACAACATTTGCATTTGTAGCAGTGTGTTATCTAAATCCTAATAGTTTTACTGATTATAGTGAAAGTAATGGAAAATATCACAGTTAATTATAAGATACAGTGCATGATTAAGACACCTGAATTTATATGTCTACATGCACTAGTCTCCACGTGTGCTAGGTACATGGAAAAGCCTGGAAAAACCATTCCCAGCTCCAGACACAAAGAGAATTAAATCCCTCTCTAGACTGTGCTAATTAGATAATTACTATCACACAATCTTGAACACCCTTATTGGAATTCTGTTCCCTAAATTTAACATGCCTGCTTACAAAATCCTGGTGCCATTCAAGATGCCATTTTCCTCTGGCTGCCAGCCTAGGGCAGTAGTTCCTTTCAGGCCTGTAACATCTGTCAAACCTGCCACAGATGTCTTGGACAGCCCTGAGCACCTCAAATTAAAATGCTATAAATGGGAGATTATATTCAGCTTCATCTTTTTTAAAGTTTTGGATACCTAATTACAGATTAAAGAGATACTTCTCTCTCATAGTGTTTCACAGTTTGGAAATTGAGGGCAATTTTTTTTCTTTCAAAAAACAATAACAACCTTCTATGTAGCCCATAGTCCAGTGGTTGTTGTTCACATCCTGCCTGAGTCACAGCTGAGCACTTGTATTTGACTGCAGAAGTTCCCTGGCCATCATGATAATTTTTCCAGGAGTAATACCAATCAGCAGGCTATGGAGTTACCGACTTTCCTAATCACAGCAGCTGACTAGAAAATGTTTAATTGGGCAATGAAAAACATTAATTAACCGGAAGAAACTGACAACTCCTGTTCCCTGAAACCTCTGAGGCCTGGCAGGTTGGAAACACTTTTAGATTCAGACTCTTTCAGCCAAAGGATGGAACTGTAACCACATTTCTCATCAGTGATAGGTGCATTTTATACTCTGGAATTCAAAATTAAATCTCTGGTCTCTCAAAGCATTAAGATGAAATCATCTCTGGATATGCTGAGAAGTAAACTTAGTGATACGTGAGCTTTGTGATAAACTGTGTGAAATGTCATCAAAATCATAAGATTAAATCTGTAGGAACTTTCTATACTGCATTTAGTTGAGTACGGAGTCAGAAAATCTGTGCTTTAGAGTTAACCTTCTAAAAATGCCTTTAGCTATATAAATTCCTCTTTAACCTCACTTATCCCAGTTCTTAAGTAATTAAGTAATTTGTCAGAAAGGTCACTGTCCAGTTATAGCAAAAAGTTAATTTAAATTTTTCAAAATTTTAAAAATCTTTAACGTCATATTAGAAATTAATTATCACACATACTGTATATAAATCTGTTGTGAATTAATATTTGATTTTTCTGTCTTGTACTTTAATTCCTTATTCTGCACGATAAAAAAGATACATCAAACACAAAAGCAAGCATACTATTATTTTATGATTTAGTACTGAAGTATAAAACTATAAGAAAATGTCACTGAGATGCAGTCAACTCATCACTGCAAAAATAAAGGTCACAAATACAAGGGAATCTGTAAAATAACTATGGCTATTTTTAGATAAGGGCATCCTTCCACTCCTTCAATAACCTTTAAGCTGGGAACTTACAGGGAACTTTCAGTGAGTTCCATGTGGCAAATAAAATCTCAAGAAAGGACAATATATGGAAACATGGATCTGAATGTTTTTTTGTCTTTTAGAATTACCTGCTGGAAAATTATATAATTCAATTACATTTTTCTTGCCTCTCACTTTATTATATTTGTAGTTTTTCAGGAAGGTGAAAGCAATCAGGACTGCAGTGGCACTATCTAATAGTGATAAAGCACATGAAGTGTAATAGTTACCTTTGTGTTCATTAATACATTTATACTACTGAAGGCCTCTCAGTGTTCAAACAGCTCACATGTTTTGTAAATTATTTAACTTTTACATATTTAAACTAGAAACGTTCTGTGCTCAAGTCAAAAACCAAGGGTACAGTCTGAATTGTACTGTACTCACATTCAAATGATGAGCATCTTTCAGAAAGATAAAAAAAGGTCTGTTAACACTCTTAGGCAAGAATGGATTAATTTTTATCTTAATCTGGGTTATAGAAAAGCATTTCCTCCTCTTTGATGTGGTATATGCTAAGTGAAAACATCATGCTCTACCCATCAGACTCATGCAAGTGGTCACTCTTTCTTTTGCACTGATGTTACAAAAGGAGATAGCCTGCATGGCTGGAAGGTATCCATGATATTAAACAGTTCATGGGGCTGTGAAGTGCTGAGAGCAATCATGCAGAGCAACAGGCCACAGGAATGCAAATCATCCACAAAGCCAAAAGTGGAGCTAGCAGGTGGCCTCTCCTATTCATCTGATGTCAACATGCTGTTCAGATCAAGCCCTTTTAACGTCTGGGTAGGCCCACTATTGCTTTTAATTAAATATAATACAGCCATTCAATGTTCTCGCATACATGAAAACCACACAGTAAAAAGCATATCTTCTGCACACTGAGGGTCACTATAGTTATATAAATAAATAGTACCATTTAACTTGGA